CCAAAAAAATAACTGCATAGCAATTATATTGAAATACTCCCTTCTTAGGGGTTATGTAAATATATCCCTTCTTAGGAAGGGGTGAGAGGGTGGACTGGTGTTTTTGTGTCATTTTTCTGCTGTTTTTAAAGTGCTGTGCTGTATTGCGCTACGTTTTCTGCAGTGTTTTTAAAGTATAAAGTCGTACAAAAATTAACCGCTCCTAGAACCCCCAAAAAAGAGAGTTTTCACTGTGTTCCCGACATTTTTGGCCGATAATAATGACGGATTCGTATTCAGCACCACTAAATTAGTAAAAAACGAAGCATTGCGCACTTTCCCCCGGATGGGCAGAACATGCCCATTTTTTACATTGTTCTTTCGATATGGTAAGTTTTCCTAAGGAAATATTTTGATATCTTATACAAAAAAGACAGTTTAATACATAAAATAATTTATAGGCAACGTTTTCACTTACTTATTTTTCAAAATAAATGCATTACAGAATTGTTTCCCAAACTGTAAAATTTCGCGCAAAAATTTGTTATCGTTGAGGACGACACCCTGCATATATTAAATATTGGAAAAGGATTAGCTATTTCGTTTCTTAATTGGCATGATGTTTCATTGAGTTCTAAGGATAACATCAGTTCCTATATTTCTAATCTTTTCTTTGTACATTTAAACAGAAGTGGATTTTTTTAACAAAAATGTTTTTCATGAAATGAAAAATAAAAAAGTTTTCTTTGTTATTAAGTAACCCTATCCGTGGACGTACTTATGTAATAAAATTAAAACCATTTCACATTTTAAAGCTTTAAGAAACACGCTAATATACGGGTGCAATAGAATATTTGAATAGAATAATAATTATTATTCAGTGATGTGACAGAACGTTAAAAATTTTAAAAATCCAATGTTTGCTCTTGAGTACGGATAAGTGTTTAATTAAAAAGCGTTAGATAATTGTCATAATAAAACAACACGAGAAATAAAGTAGAATGACATGACCGATTAGAATAACTATTTGTTTTGGCAGCGAAATGTGGCCGAAAATAATATAGAATTAGGAGCCTAAAAATAAAATGTTATTAACAAATTGTAAATTAAAAGCCTAATTCAATTTTGTATATTGGCAGCTTCAAAAAAATTAAGTAGGTACCTAGTTAACTATTCAAATTTTGACTTTTCTATGATTGCAGTAGAAATAAAAATGTATTAAAATTTTTCTGGTGTTTCAGGATTAAGTCGACAAACTTTAAGGAGATATTCCTCGTAACAAAATAAGAAAAAATCAAGTATAATTTTTTTTCCAGAGACGCTTCATTTTCGAAATATGGGGCGTTAAAGATTTTTATTAAAAAAATTCGAATTTTTTTAATAACTTCTAAATGAAGAAAGCTATTTAAGCCAAATTTGGCATGACACATCTTCTTATAAGATACCATTTTTCCATAGAAGTAGAAGTCCCGCAAGCAACCAGCGGCAGAGTTATGGGGACTCACACTCATTAAATTATAAAAAAAATTAATACGGCCCTACTGAAAATAAAAAATGATGCTGTTTTTAGATAGAACAGTTTGGTATTGACAAAAAGTGTACATTCACTTTTTTTCCTAACTCTGATAGTTTCATGGCAAAATTCATTTTTCAGAAGGGTGCTTCTGGATTCTGTCAATAAACTTTAGGAAGACGTTCCTCACAAAACCTAAAAACATATAGTAGGTACCTATTAAAATTGGTCTTAGTCTCGAGTATGTGTGAGTCAAATAAGCCTTTTTGTCTCCCATTGGGTTTAACCAATAGTATTAAAATTATTTAGGAGATGCTTCGTTTTTGAGATATAGGGTATTTTTTTTAGAAAAAAAATGATGATGAAAACAATAGAAATATTTAAGTACCTAACATCTAATGTGACTAAGTCGTAATGCGACAACGTAACGACCCTTGCAATACTCCCAAATTTTTTCAGGCGGTTTGTAATCAATTCATTTACTTGTGTTGTGAATTTTTAAATAAAATAAGATGGCAAACAATAATGAAAATTTATTTGTAAATTGAAACAACCAAAAAATTACCAATTAATATTATATCTAGACAAAGCGACAAGTGAATAAAAAATTAAATGATATAAAATATTTTGTTCAAAATGGGCGCCTCCGGACTATAGACAAGCACGACATCTTCTAATTATGGAGGTCGTGGCCGATCGACACTGAATTGGAGTTAATTATCTACACGCTTGGACTATTCGCTGTCTTAGATCTTCTAAGGTATCAACTGGCACCTCGTAGACTTTTTGTTTCGGTGTCAAGTCCGGTGAACCACACTGCAGGTCCTCCACGACCAATCCATCTCCTGGGATAATTAATGTTTAACCACTCCCTAGGACCCCTACCAAAATGAGCAGGACAACCATCTAGTTGAAACCAACTATTCATTCGAGTATTAAGCGGAACATCTTCTAACAGATCTTGAAAACCATTTTCAAGGAACTCGGTAAACATGTCAGCATTTAACCGATGCGGAAGGAAGTAGGGACCAACTATAGTGTTGTCCAACACACCCAACCGTACGTTACATTGGAATTCATGCTGAAAACTATGTTCCATTACCCGCCCGTTGATTCTCGTACGACCAAATATGGTTGTTCCTTTGGTTTAAAATTCCCCTTCGAGTAAATGTTGCCTCATCTGTCCACATTACTTTTTGCGTAAACTGATCAACATTTTCTGCTTGGTTTATTTAAAGTTTATCTTTAAATAAACCATAATTTTAAAATTTAAAATTAAATAATAAATCCAGAAGCACCTTTCCGAAAAATCAATTTTGCCATGAAACTATGAGTTAGGAAAAAAAGTGAATGTACACTTTTTGTCAATAACAAACTGTTCTATCTAAAAACAGCACCATTTTTTATTTTCAGTAGGGCCGTATTATTTTTTTTATATAATTTAATGAGTCTGAGTCCCCATAACTCCGCCACTGGTTGCTTGCGGGACTTCTACTTCTATGAAAAAATGGTCTTATAAGAAGATGTGTCATGCCAAATTTGGCTTAAATAGCCTTCTTCATTTAGAAGTTATTTAAAAAATTCATTTTTTTTTAATCTTTAACGCCCTATACAGGGTGTTAAAAAAAGAGTGTAAAATATTTAAGGAGGTAATAGTATGAACCAAAATAAGCAGAAAAGACTCAATAAACATGGGTCCGCAAAGTAACGGTTGCGGAGATATAGAATGTTTTGTGTTTTTTAGCCCCTTTTTTTATTTTGCAAAAACGTTGTGTATTTTCTTATAATAGTTGGTTGATGTTTAGTGAAATAAACAGTACGTATTTGACAGTTGTTCTCAGTGCACAAGTTTTCTTTCGCTATGGCTGGTTACTCTAACGCAAAATTAACAGACATGCATTTTCATGTATATGGTCGTGCTAATGGGAACGCCACCGAAGCGCGACGTCTTTATGTTGACGCTTATCCAAATCGCCAGATTCCTTCACAACGCATGTTTGGAAGAATTCACCAAAGATTGCGTGATACCGGTTCCTTGAGCAAACAGTGCCATTTATCCGGAAGACCAAGGTCGGTATCCACTCCTAGAGCAGAAGAAGAAATTCTAGCACTGGTAGAGCAGAATCCAGGTACGAGTGTGCGGAGAATATCAGCCGAGGTAGGAATTAGTGGTCCTCTTGTTTGGAGAATCCTTCACGAGCAACTGCTTTATCCATACCATGTGCAACGAGTAAAATAGGCCTTAAATCCAATAAATGATCATCAAGCACGTTTGGGTTTTTGCCGCTGGTTTCTACGTCATGATCCTCGTTTTCTTGCAAACATTCTTTTTACTGATGAGGCCGGGTTCACAAGAAATGGAGTGTTTAATTTTCACAATACGCATATTTGGGCCGACGAAAATCCTCATGCTCTAATAGAATCTGGACATCAGTCACGTTTTTCATTAAACATTTGGATGGGTATTGTAGGTGACAGGTTTCTAGGTCCTGTTGTTTTACCAAACCGATTAACAGGCGCTGCTTACCTCAACTTTCTGCAGAACACACTGTATGAGTTTTTGGAAGACATTCCTTTGAATCAGAGGCAACAAATGTGGTTCCAGCATGATGGTGCTCCACCTCATTTTTCCATGGCCGTTAGAGAGCATTTACATCAAACTTTTCCACATAGAGGGATAGGAAGGGCCGGACCTGTTTTATGGCCTCCAAGATCGCCTGATCTGAACCCTCTAGATTTCTTTGTTTGGGGATATTTGAAGACATTAGTGTATGGTACTCCTGTAAATAGCCTGGAAGAGCTGCAGCTACGGATTAATCAAAAGTGTCAAGAAATCCAAACCAAGGAGGGTATTTTCAAAAGAGTTCGAATATCGTTGAGACGAAGATGTCGTGCCTGCTTGGAAATGGACGGAGGGCACTTTGAACATCTTCTGTAACTTTGTTTTTTGTTCGTTAAAAGCTTCCTTTGTCGGTTTATTCCTAATAAAATAAAATGTTTGAAAAACGAATAGTGGTCCATATCTCCGCAACCGTTACTTTGCGGACCCATGTTTATTAAGACTTTTCTGCTTATTTTGGTTCATACTATTACCTCCTGAAATATTTTACACTCTCTTTTAACACCCTGTATTTCGAAAATGAAGCGTCTGAAAAAAAATTTATACTTGATTTCTATATCTAATATCTCCTTAAAGTTTGTCGACTTAATCCTGAAACACCCTGTATAACCTATAGGTATCATAACTTCCAGTGCCCATGTAATTTTGCTACTTTTGTTTTGTATTATCACATACAATAGGCATACTATTTTGTCTGCCGTCCATATTATAGGTAGGAGGTACCTAAGTTATGTAGGTTTCTGTATTTAGATAAAACTATCTGCTATTTAAACTAAATATAAAATTTTATTAATGGACAATGGTCAATAGCCAAGACAACGTGACCTATACCTAACCTACTGTGTGTGTAGTGTATTCAAGGTCCACGACACTCCATGAATTATTCTTAGTCATGTGCTGTGGCCTTAGTTCATTATTGTGAGGCAATTGCTCAGTGTGGGGAATCGACTTCTGTCTATTTTTTCTACAATGTGTTGGTGACGTAACTAAATTTACAAATGATTTAAATGAAGGAACTAATTTACATGTTTAAAAAAATAATATAGTAACTGATTTACTAAGCCACTAGTAATAGTAAATCAAGTACAAAAAGAGCAGTAGTTGTAGTGACACATCAGGTTAGTTTGCTTTTAGTAAACATTTCGTTTAAATTATTGTTTATTTTTCAAAACAGTGTTTAATTGGTACACTTTAAGTGTTTTACATACAACACAATGAAAATATATTATCTCTAAGATAGATAATAATTTTCTGTAGACTGATATAAGTGCAGTCAAGGGATATCAAATTTATTATTTAATAATTAATTATTTGACATAATCTTTGTTTTAGGCGTTCAATTAGTAAAGGTAACAATGAATGTCTCTAATTTACAACATTTAAAGAAATCTAGGCTTATACATTTATGCCTGGCTATAACTTTCTTCACTTCGGGAGTCATTGTGAATCTTATACAATGTGTATTGTATTTAACACTCAGACCCTTTAATAAAGTATTATATAGGAAAATCAACTGGTACCTGTGTTGTACAATTTATGCACGTAAGTATATTTATATATTTTAATGTGAACATTTTAAATGATTGTATACTGTTTCAGAACTAGTATTTTTGGGAGACTGGTGGTCTGGAACTAGAATTTTTATGTATATAAATAAAGATGAATTTGATAAGTATTATGGTAAAGAACACGCTTATTGTGTGATGAATCATACATATGAAATAGATTGGTTAATCGGATGGATGATATGTGACAGAATTCATCTTCTTGGGGTGAGTTGATGCATATTTGTATAGATTATTATATAGCAACATGTCAGATAAATACACCACTAATTATAATAGTCACAGTAATTAGTCCATTTAACTTTGATATATCGCAGAAAACAAAACGTGAAAGTCTCTTTTAATCATGCGAGAACAATTTAATTATTTAGTTAAGAAATCATATTTTAATTCTAATGAAATGGTCATATTGATCTTTTTTTTAATTTTCGATTGATAGTGAAAGAATTAAACTAATCTAATCAATAATAAATTATGATCAAATTATCTAAAATGTCATAGCAGTTGTATTTCATGAAAATATATAACTAATATTTCTTAAAACTTGCCATGAGAAATTAAAAATAATATGTACATGAATTTATGTTGCTTTATGTATAAATATCATTGAGTAGTCACCATCAACATCTTGAACAACTGGCATTCTTTTCTTCCAAATGTAGTCTAATGGTATCCAAAACATTTTTTCCACATCAGCTATTAATAGTCCACAATGTTACTTTTAGCTAGCCATGATTTTAACATTGTGTGTATTTGGTATATAGAGAATTAGTGGATCTAATTTTATGGTTTATTTATATTTAATTTTAAGTACATATTTTTTAAGTACATAGTATATCTTATGACTACGAGTTTCTTGTATTTCTTGCAGAGTAGTTTGTTTTTTGGCTGAAGCTTTCAAAATATATTTGAATGTCATGTTAAAAAATATGGCTCTATATTTTTACATATATATATACATACACATACTTTACATGTACATTACGTTTTCAGTATAACTAATAATATAAGAGATACGCTAAAAAAATGTTATTTAAAAAATTTTGTTTTCTATTTTTAGAAAACATTAAAAAAATAAAAAAATTGCATAGGTACAACTTTTATAATTACTTACCATTTTTTTTCTGCAAGCAGTAGTGACATGCAAAGTATAATAGATGACCCTGAACATACAGCAAAAACTATACAGTATAATAGTTGCTTATAATAATAAATAAACATTAAATACCTACCAATATTTAGTAAATACTTATTATTATAGAACTGTAAAGCTTATGCAAAAAAAGTAATACAATATGTGCCAGTTTTGGGATGGGCGTGGAAATGTTCTGAATTTGTATTTTTGGAAAGGTCATTCGATAAAGATAAGGAAATTATAAACAAACAAATAATTGAACTTGCAGAACATCCGGATCCTATATGGGTAAGTTGGTTTGCTTTAAAGATCATGTCTGTAAAATTATCCTATTAATAGTAATAACAAAATTATTTTGAATATAGTTGTCTCTATTAGATAAACTATATAGGTATATTATGTTGCAACTGACCTATTTTAGACATACTTAATAACATTTTTGTCCTTTATTTATGTTTATCAATAAATGTACATTATTAAGTAGGAATTTAATCTTAGTTACATCTAAAATTAAACAAGTAATTTTTGTACTTTGTTATTATCTTTAATCAATTATATCCATAGGTCTTGTTAAAACCATTGATAAAATACTTAAAAAAAATTCTTATGTTTTAGTTATTGCTATTTCCCGAGGGAACCAGGTTTACTCCAAAAAAACATGAAGCTTCTCTCGAGTTTGCTCGTAAAAACAATTTGCCTGAACTAAAACACCACCTTTTACCCAGAACTAGAGGTTTCATTGCTAGTTTGCCCTCAATGAAAGGGAAGGTGCCTGCTATTTACGATATTGAGTTAGCTTTTAAGGAAAATGCACCCAGTAAACCAACTATCACAAACATGCTTTTTGGAAAACCATTAGAGGCGCACATTTATATGAGAAGGATTCCCATGGAAGATTTGCCAAAAACCGAAGTAGAGCAAGAGACATTTCTTAGAGATATGTTTATTAGGAAGGTGAGTTCAAATTTAAACACTTCCTAATTGTAGAATGTGATTATTCATACTCAAAACCTTATTTGTTGTTTTAAGCTCATAATAAAGGTAGATTTTGTTATAAAAATCTATACCAGTATATATGACTTATCGTTAAACATGCAATATTCTTATTGAATTATTTTGGTAAATTATACTTTAAAATATAAAAATTAGTTTATTTGTATTTTTAAACTTGCCCCTAAACAATAAAATACAATTAACAGAAATTCACACTACTGTATGTATGAAATAAATTTTTACCAACTTCAAGTAACTGATAACAAATCTATATTATGTTGTTTTACTATTAATTAGTCTTAAAAATTAATATCCTTTTCATTGTTTTAAAACTATATATTTATATGTAGGTATAAATGAAGTCCTCAATTGTTGTGAATCATTTTAATTACACTAATTTACAATCTGCTTATTCATATGTTACATTAAAAGCCATTTAAAACATTTATTTTTATCAAATTTTTAATTATGGGATTTATTTTATTGGCTTACCCTCAATGATTTTATATGGGTTGTCTGGTTGACATTCAGTGTAAAAGGACATGGTCATTCTAATAACACTACTTTTTGGATAAAATAAGAAACCATTTTTGTCTTAATGGAACACTGTATATTTTTATTTAATTGAATAGAATCCTTTCTTACAATAACAATGATATAAGGTTTGATGGGTCTATGTGTTATAATAAGGGAGATATATCCGAAAGAGTGTGCTATAAGTTCAACGTGCTAAACAAAAACTTGTCTGGTTATATCACTACAACAATGTAACTATAAATAAAAATATACAACGTAAGACTTGCGAAAATAATGTCCCAAGTTTATAAAAAAAAATATTTGGGCTCACCCTGTAGCTCCTGTTAAGAATTACTTTTACTTTATAATTTTCTTGCTTTTCATTAAATTAGGATCATTTTTGGTTAAAAGTTGTTATTGGTAGCTATTTGATATATTTCTACTAGTATATTCTATTTAATGATAGCTACTTCGAAGGCCTGTATGCAAATCACCCTCAGTAGTATTATTCCATGAAAAAATATATAGGCTTTTTTATTTTTGTTGTTTTTGTATTTTTGTTAAAAAAAGGTGTACTTGTTTGTCGTCGATGCAACAAACAGTTTTCCAGATTCACTTTTAACAATAAAGATACTATACTATTTTTTAAACATTTTAATTGTAATAAATACATCATAACAAAAATTGTTCATTTATGTAACAACAAATATCATTTGACATTATGCATTTATCACATACCATAAAAAAAGTTGATATTTTTGGGTATTCGTTATAGTATTAAGATATGTTAGAAATAGTTTTTATCATTAATCAAGTGTTATCAGAAACAATTTGTTCCATAACAAACAAGTTTTATTTCACTTAAAAACAGCAACAAGAATTAAAAAAGATGGCCTATAGATGTTTCTGTGGCCAAAACTGCTGAGGGCCCTTTGTCCCCTCACCCCAAAGTAGATATGGATAATGCCCAAAAATTATCCAATTTAATGGGAGGCAACAATTTTATAATGAAATATTGATTTCCATCTAACGACTAAAGGGTAGGCTTGAATAAAAAAAATATTCAGGGTGTTTCGCATAAGAATCAGCAGCAGGGGCATGTAGAGGGACCCAAAATATGATGATTTAACGCAAGTTACCTTTGTAGTAATTGTAAGCTACACCCTGAGAAGTTATAGAATCGTCAAGTTTGATGTTTAAATTCATTCATTCATTTGAATTTTCGATGATTTTAAATAACAGCTACAATACATATTATTAGTTATTCGTGTTTTTGTTAAAAACGACAAAGTTTTTTGAAAACTAACAAGAGTAAGAAATTTAGAATTAAATTCCCCATAAAATAGTCATAATTTTTTAAACCTGCCAACGGATTAAAAAAATTACTCACTTTCAGTAAGTAGAAAGTTTTGCTATAATCTCTGCTACCTCAAGCAAGTCAACTCATTAACCCCAAGCGACTCAACTCAATGACCCCAAACGAGTCAAGTGATTAACCCCAAACGAGTCCTCATTAATCCCAAGTGAGTCAACTCATTAACCCCAAGCGACTCAACTCAATAACCCCAAATGAGTCAACTCATTAACCCCAAACGAGTCAACTCATTAACCCCAAGCAACTCGACTCAATAACCCCAAACGAGTCAACTCATTAACCCCAAGCGAGTGAACTCGTTAACCCCCAGCGAGTAAACTCACTAACCCTAATAGACTCAACTCATTAACTCCAAGTGAGTCAACTCCGTATTTACTATTTTTCGGTGTTGTTGGCTTTCCTCACTCTTCGTGCACCATACAATGCAATTAAAAATGTATATACCTTCAAACAAGCATAAATAATCTTGAAATTCCCATTCGAGAAGTAAGAGTTTGTATTTAGCCTGCATTGTGTGCATGTAATCACACTTGCATATAAGTACTATTGCATACCTACACAAATACCCAAATTGAAAACTTTCTGGCGGTTCTTCTTCTTCTTCTTCCTATCCTAATTAGGCCTATTGTGCGTCCCACTACTAGTCCTATTCAGCAAGTATTTTTGTCCTTTTGACAAAGTCCAAAAGCTTCCTTGCTGACACTTCTCTCAGTTCCTTCGGTTCCAAATAACGTCTCCCCAGGAGCGTCATTCTACTACGTGCAAATCCCGGGCACTCACCCAGGTTACGCAGAGAAGTTTCATCCGCCGATTCACATTCTCGGCAGACCAGACTGTCTACAAGCTTTAGCTTATGTAGATGTTTCCTAAAGTGACAGTGTCTCGTTATGAGTCCTGTCACTCTGCTGAGCTGGATTTTGTTCAAGCTCAGTAAATCGTTTGCTCTTTTGTTCAAGCTCAGTAAATCGTTTGCTCTTTCCTTCGAAGGATACTTCATGAGCTCCTTAGAATGGCCATGTTCTGGCCTTGAAGTCCAGTATTTCCTGTGTTGTGTCTCAGTCCATTTGCTCAGAGCTCGCCTGACCACACTGGGAGATGTGCCACAGAAGGGCTCCGGGCCAATGAACTCTGTCTCGGATCCCTTCCTAGCAAGTTCATCCGCTTTCTCGTTCCCACAAATGCCTTTGTACCCTGGCGGTTGTTAGACAACTGAAAATTGACTCAACACTCGATCACAAAACATCTATTTATTATAAAGGACCCAACGACTAACGATTAACGAACGTATATCCCGTGTTACGTGTTACAGCAAAATGGCGAAACTTCTAAGTTCTCTATGGGCGAAACCATAGTCAGGCATAAGGTTATTCTGGAAATTATTAAGTGAGGCCTCAGTTACAGTAAGTGAGCCGTAATTTGCTACAAATAAGGACTAACTAACCCCAATTGGATCAATTCTAAAAAAGTACATTCACATCTGAGCAAAGCAACTCACTCGGGACAGATAGACAGTCGACTAAAATAAAACTCCAACTGAAGTATCATATAGCCACGAGACTTTTTTGTTGTGGTAGCAAACGTGTTTCAGCCAAAACATACTTATTTGTGGCAGCATGAATTTTTTCTGTGACAGCAAAAATTTTACCTACTGTAGCTAAAATATCTTAGCAAAACCCTTCACTTGGTGGATTTCTTTCAGTGTTCAGTTGAACTCTGCTTACTGTCGATTAATGCTCTTGGTACACTCACACCGTGTGAAACACTCTTATAACATTATTTACTACACAAATCAGAGTTTTCCCACCACATCCTGGCTTCCCAGTATATTAGTTACATATGAACACAGTGATCGAAGAAGTGGGCAAGATTACTTCCTCTCAAGCAGTCTCTAGTGCTACAATGGTGTGCATCGTTTTTTATTGCAAGGGGGTTTATGAAAATTAAGTCGCAGCTGTCTAAGCATATCATTTTCTGTCTAAAACCACAGGAAAAACATAATTCATACTTAACATTTGTTAAAATTTTAGAAATAGTTGCATCTTATTGATATAGTTACAACTTTCTTAATGGTTATTATGTATGTAATCAAAACTATTTTTAAACCCTTGTATAAAATTGTGAGTTTCGAAAATTGTTGTAGCGGTCTATAAGGTCAAGTGAGGGAGAATCTTGGCTTCATTTATTCGTTAAAAAAGTGAGGGAACTGCCAATATATTTCTAATATAAAGTTTTCATAAATGTTTACAAGCCACATGACCCCCGAGCTTAGGCAACCCAACATTGCATAACTGGTCCTGGTAACGAAAAATCCCTAAATCAGCACTGATATTAATGATTCGTTTACAATGAGCAGTAGCAAAGCATTATGCCTGTGCTCGAGATAATGTGATTGCTAATTGGTTGAATAGAATCTCGTGAAAAATTACACAAATCACAGCCGGTGAAACAGGATGTTGCATTTTAATGTGGTGTTGATCCTATTGTTTTAATAATTTTTAGTTTTCCCGAAATGTAATTGCCAACATGAAGGAAATAAAATTACTGTTCCAAACAAAATTACTGGTCACGTGGCTTGTCATCATTTATAAAGACTGTAGATATGAATAAGACAATCCTACAAAAGTTGTAGGGGTGTACCATTAAAAAACAAATACGCCTATAATTTTTTTGACAAAATTGCATTTTGTTTTGTTGCGACAAAATGTAAATTTTGGCCAAACATCTATGACTATTATTAGATAATAACATTTTTTAGGACAAGTTAAAAGACAGTTTCATAAAAACCGGGGACTTTTTCGAAACCTCAGGTCTCCCACGAGTAGAACCTTTTGAATTACCAAGACGACTGCACTCACCTGTTCATATAGCATTTTGGTTATCATGTACTTTGATTCCAATTTCCTACTACCTTATTAAGCTGCTGTTTAGTGGAGAGTTATTGTACTTTTCAGTAGGAGCTAGTATAATTGGTGCTTGTAAGTACAAATCTAAAGGGTTGTTCGTTATAACAATCTAAACTAAATATGAATTTCTTTCTTGCAGTCTTCCTTTTATTGAATAAAACGATTGGTATGTCGGAAATAAAGAAAGGCTCATCATATGGGACGAACACGCCAAAGAAAACTCAGTAGACACAACTCTGCGCTGAAAAACCTCCATTTCCGTGAATTAGGAAATTAATGTCTGTGCCAAGTGTTTAGACATTTCCCTTTGACAAGTAGTAGCCAATTTTCTCATTACTAAACGTAACAACATTGTTTAGATGTGTAAATGAAATTAAAATGTGATTTATCGATTCATTTATTATTTAAAATATATTTTTAATAATCTTTTTATTCTTTGATATTACTGGGAATACTGAGCACAACTCAATGCATTTATTGTGACTTTTTTTTGGATGTTATATAGTGTATATTATTTGTTAATATATGTATGGTTTTCTTGACCGCTGGTTTGTAAAATGTACCTTCCTTCCTGGGATTTTTTTTTAATGTTCTGCTTCTGAAAAACTATATGAAAAATGATTTATTGTACAAACAAGGTGTACTTAAATAAATAAGCCTTATACTAAAGTCGATTTATTAGGTATAGAGTATTTGATTTGAAATTAAAGAAAATATATCAACTATACAGGGTGGCTTATCACAAACTCCATCGATGGATATCTGGGAAACCGCTTGAAGGATTTTTTTGAAATTATGATATGGAACGTGGGGGCTCACAATGCAGGCTATGGAGCAAGGTCATCATACTTCTTATTATACCGCAAGTCCACGAACTTTCTTATTTTAAATGGGACACCCTATATATTATTATTTTTGTAGAGAATTTATTTTTAAAATGAAAACATATAGTACACTCCATACTTACGATTAACCGTTTCCGAGATATTTTGATTTTTAGGCAAAAATTGACAGATGCAGACTGTCATCAAAATTTAGTTTTCGCGGAAACAGGTTTATTTTTTTTGTGCGAATTGGACATTTTGTAGAGGAAGATTTAATTTATCTACTCCTATTAATTTATATATTAATTATTCAACTGCTTTTGAGCAATTAATAGTATCAATAAACAAGTAGCGTGAGTTTTCATAGTGTTATTATAACTCACGCTGGGCTTCTACAATGATAATTCGGTATGTAAATAGTGTATGCAGTAAATTCTTGGAAATTTTTAAGCCGGTAAATACGTTCCATTGGTGTAAAATGGAAAGAATTTTTAACAAGTGGAAAGGAATGGATAATTAAAAGATTTTAAAATTATTAAATTGCCAACGCCTCTCAGTAGGTGGAACTGTCAATTATTATCATTGAGGGGACTAATGTCATTTGATATTTTAACAAAATAATTTTGACGTTTTCAAATCAATTTCTAATAATAGTCCTAAAAAAGATGAATTTAGATAGCGAAGATGAGTTATTATGTACAACTCCAGAAATAAGAGAAGTAGCTAATAATGCAATACTGAATTTATTAGTAATTACACCTAAAACTTTTATTTAATTGTTATAACTATTAAGATTTGTGAATAAAGTTCTTTCTCGATACTTGTATCTTAGTATTTATTGTTATAGTCGTAGATAAAGTATAGTATTCAACTTGCGGTAATGGTCATAACTCACTTGATGAATTACAGCACTCGCCTGCAGCTCGTGCTGCAAACTTTATCTGCGTGAGTTATGACCTGCATTACCGCTCGTTAAATAATATACTATTATTGGATTTAACATGAAAATTTTCCAGTTTTTATACAGGGTGGACAAAAAAAAAGATCGAACATGAAATTCAGAAAATGTGGCAAAATCGAATTTTTAAATGCAAACACCCAATTTTTTTGACGTTTTCGCATTCTGCACTAAAATTGAGTGAAACTTTGTTTCCCTAGTCGCTATTATTTTATTTACGAATAAACATTTCCCTTTTCCTAAAATGGTATTTCCATGTGTCTCGCACATTTTAGGTTGGCAGTGACGGGTAAGTAACAATCAACATGGTATAAACTGTCACAGGTTTTTAATTTAATTGTCAAATTTATCTTCCACTGGTTTTAAAAACAATAGGTTTATTAAATGTAAGTTGATTGGTACAGTAACGATTAATGACTAAAATTATTTTTTTTATGTTATAATGTAAATGTGAATCGTAATTATGGGATGGATGTTTCCATGAATACTGCTGAGACGGAACTTAATACCACATTGTAAGAAAACATTGTCAAAAATATCAAAAATGCTCGTGGTTGAGATATAACATACTTACAAGGAAGTTCGGAATTGACATCTAGATGCTTCAGATATGTCTTTTTATCTGTTACAATTTGAAAAGAATAAAACACATCTAGAGCATCTATATAGATGTTAATACCGAACAGGTATGTGTTATGTACCGAACTTGCCTACACCACAGCAAAATAAATTATGCTGTGCTATTTTACGTTTGGGAATAAAGGCCGGTTTACATTAAATCAGTAAACAAGCAAGGCAAGTAAAAAAGTAAAATTTCAGTCAGTTGATTAAGGCAAGTTTAGTATTTGTATTAGTTAAAAGTGGCAACATGGAACTTAAACGTGCAAAACAAAAGAAAATTTATATAAAGCAGTGTCAAAATTAGTAATGACTCAATTTTTGGAAATTATGCAAGAAGAAATTGTTCGCGAATAGAGACTATAGATTAGAAACTGGATAACAAATATACATTGGAATATTTTAATAAATGTACAAAATACCTAGGTACTTGAACTCCTGACAACAAAATTAAAAATAGTTCCTGTTCCAACAAGTCAACTGTACTGACAAACGACTGGCAGGTAAATGAATTTTAGGAATGAGAAAGCAAGTGGTCTTACAAGGTAGACCTGCATTCTACTCACTTGACGTCCAGTTTGCTTGCCAAGTAGCTTATTGCCATCGCATTTGCCTTGCATGATTTTTAAAATTAAGTCTTAACCGCGCCGCGCGCCATTATTCCATGGCTAGAAATTGGCCTCAATGATTTGGGATCGAGGAGGATTATCCCTCTTTATCCTGCCTCATCTCGTGTAGGCCTGGACAGCCTTCGTAGGTGGGCCCCATCCGTCGTCTACCCCGACCGCAAATGCGGCCGGTGTAGGCGCTTTGTGGGACCTCCTTTTGTCCTGGCTGGGCCCCGCCGGCTAGGGCCCTTTCTTCTGGCGCTCTTCTTGCTTCGCCGGCACGTCTGTGTAAACCCCCGGAGGTGGCGTCATGTTTATGTGTGGTATGGTTGGGTAGGGTAGTGCGGTTATGCAGCCTGGGATGCGCTTTGCTAAGGTGGCCCTTAGGCTAGCGCGGGAGGGGAGGGAAGTCTTAACCGGCCTTTAGTAGGTACCGTCATATGAGTAACTAAATTTATTTAGTCATATGGGTACCGTCCATTATTTTCAAATTTAAGATATTTTATTTTTAACTACAATTATCAATAGGCTAATCAGTGACGCAGTTTTCTATCCTAATTTATGACCTCCAACATTCAAGTTTCGCGATGTCTTTGGTTTTGACTCGAATAACTAATCCTTATATTGAGAGACACCACATAAGGAGTTTAACAATGAATGGTGAAAATCAAAAGCGCGAGATCGGGAGAGTGGAGCAGAACTTCCCAAATTCAACTCCCGAATGGCTTCTGGTCATATTGTCGATATGTGGCCGC